GACTCTGAATAATAGTCCTGTGAACTGTCCATTTTACTCTGCACTCTAATAGATTCTCCATTATTCAGCTTATTCAAGTTTTTTGGAATTGTCATAGAAATCTTCTGTAACAGCACAAAGGATGTATTACGGTATTACTATTACCTCTAGCTCTAATAAATAAGGAATTTTTTGCTCAACAACTAATCTAGATCTAGACAATTAAGTAATAGAATTTGAAATGTTATTTAGGATAATTAAATTTATGAGATTAATTTTTTTTTTTGGTTTCCCGCTCGGTATCCGGGACTTCGCCCCAACTACTTCGGACTCGACCAGCTGTGGCGCACCAGAATGGTGGGTGGGTCTCCTAACGAAGACTGCTGCGTACGCAAGGTTTCGAACTCGAGACCTTGCTTAAACTGGAACAAACCGCTTGCCACTTGATCCAACCCCTCGTTGGTAATTTATGAAATTAATGTTTATCAACTACATCATTGTTTTTTTTAATGAGAATTTATTAAACTGACTAATCTTTATCTAATTTTTTTTGCTGATAAATATTTTTTCATAAATTTATTTAGTATCAATTTTTATATTTATGGGAAAGAAAAATCAGTTTCAATATTTTAATAATTATACATAAGTACTATTCTTTTGAAAAATAAGATAAGAATTTTTTTAACTATACCAAATCTTTAATATTCTAATATATATATATATACATATTTTGAACAGGGATGGGTTTTAACGCACCCATGGGGAGGGAAAATGCACTTAAAACTAGTAAGGTATTAGTTGACCCGAAAAATCAGTTGTAATATTCTAATATTTTTAAAAAATCAGTTTTAACTACATCTAATTTCAAAATATAAACTGTTAAATGTAAAATGTAAAAGCCCAATATTACTTTATAGAATAATAGATTTGAATTTCATTCAAATTTTACGGGGTTAACTATACATATAGTTTATTTACCAAAAAAAAAAAAACAAAAAACTATACATATAGTTTGATTTATAAAATATTTTAAAATATTTGAATAATTTTATAAAACAAACTGCCGTATATTAAAATACTTTGAATGATTTTAAGATGCAGAGAAAAATTCGAACGCGGTCGTTTTATGAGTGTAAATAAGATGAAAAAAAACAAGAAAGAACAGCACTGCATATGTACGCCGTTGCATCACAGCTGAGGAGGTTCCGGCGGAAATGGCTGACGCTCAGCTCCATTCTCTATCTTCATCACCGTCACTTCACCGCCAAAATCTATTTTCTAATCACTTTTTTCTCACGGTAAGGCCATCTTCATCAAGCCCTTGCTTTTTAACCCTCTCTTCTGACCTCTGATTTTGAGAACTTCTCTGATTCCTCTAAATTAACAGATTAGGGTTTGTTGATTCTGAGTTGATTTGATGTTAATCTCTAGTAAAGTATTAATCTTTCATTCTCACTAGCAATTGGCAAAGTGGGTATAATAAAATAACCTTAACAGGTTCCGAACCAAAATTTAACTTTGCTGCAGAACAAGATCTCTTTTTTTTTTTTTTTTTAAGTTAAAAATTTCTTGTATTTGCTCCTTGAAATCTTTTCCCCAAAGATAAGAATAATCTTTTGTATCTCTAATTTCCGTTATTTTTTTTTTTATTACAATTACAGCCAAGTAAAGTTTGTTAATGTGAATAAGGGAGCTATGAAGATGTCACCCATAGTCACCTGTAGGAAAGCCAATCCAAGGGACAGTGATAGTGAGAAAGGAGTGAAGGGTAAGATTGTTAAAATGATGGCTAAACAGGGAGATAAAAAATTCCAACATGAAGGTTTGATTACTGAATCACTCCCCAATGGTATGTTCCGGGTTCGCTTGGACAATCAAGATTTGATTCTTGGTTATCTCTCTGGAAAGATCAGAAAAAATTTCATTCGTGTTTTGCCTGGAGATAGAGTTAGAGTTGAGTTAAGTCCGTATGATTCCACCAAGGGCCGCATAGTTTTTAGACTTCGTAA